AAATGTGGATTCAGTGCTACTTTCTCTTATTTCAGAGAATGAGGTTTATATTTTGGATATTAAATTAGTGAGATTCCTAGGAGTCTCTGGATTTGAAATGAAGTCTATATACCTTTTTGGAAACAAAAAAAGCTGCTTCTCTGTATAGGTCAGAGTAGTGATTTTGGAATACAGCAAGTCTCCTGAAACACAGAGGAACATTTAAGATCTTCTCTGTGGAGCTTCTTTTAAATGTTGCTCAACTGCTTCACTCTTCTTCACACGAACTAAAAATAATGCATGAATATTGATTTACTAGTTTTCATTGTGCTTTTTAATTACTGTTTAAAAAAACAGAAGTTAAATAGATGGTGTGTCACATGCAGGACTTCCCATACATGAATAGTTTTAAAAAATTTAAGTCTTAATAACCCCCAAATTCTAGATTTATCTTGGTGATGCTCAGATCTGGAATATTCCCATTATAGATAATTTTTTTTTTCCCAACATCCAGCATCAGATGTTAACAGCATCATTTCTATTGCTGGCAGAGGGGACGGTAGCATCTAGGACATTTCTGTGATGTGCAGTCGTTCACCATCATAGATTTTTGGCGAAGAGGCAGCAGTTGCTTATCACAGTGGTAAGCTGACTGTTGGTGCTGCAGAAGGCAGGTGCAGTACCCAAACTGTGTTTTGACACCCTGCCAAAGCTGGGGAGCTGCAGGCTCTTGCTCCATCACATTGATTTTAAAACTTTCTGGATAATGGTTATACACCACTGTACCCTCAGTTAAATTATATATATTTTTAGTTATGACATGTGGCTAATAAAACAATGAAAGCAGCTACAATTTTGTCAACTGCATGAAGCTGTCTATGATAGTTGCCTGCTTCTGGCAGGTTTTCTGGGCAGCTTTCAAGAGAAAGCAGAAGCTAATTTATTGCAATTCCTTACTCTCCTAAGTACAGCTTTTGGCCTTCATGAAAAAATGTGGCCATTCTCCTTTTGTTCTTTGTCTCCTTAGAAATAACAATAAACCAAACTTGGTGCTTGAAGTTCAGTCTTAGACTGAGAGACGGAAACTTTCTCGGTATGCATCTTCTTATGGAACGAAACAAAGATACTACTGCTTTACCTTTTATGGACAACTTATTTCCTGAAAGTCTTTGTGATAATAACTTGAGTCCTTCTTCTGTAGGCATATGTTCATCTGAAACAGCCAGTTGAGTACCCTACATATAGTCAATGAAGCTTGCCGGGGTGGTGCAGGGTGTGTGAGACAGAGCACCTAAGTTAGATACCAAAACCAGATAAGGTGAACATCTGCCTGGTGCTTTCAGGTTTTCACTGCCTTTTATGGAAAGTTAGGTGTTGTCTTAATCTTTTGACTTGGAATTGGGGAAGTTTGCCACCTAGTTTTCATCACTGGACATACTGCTGCAAAGCTTTAGTTGTAAGTTCTCATTAAGCTAATTGTGTCTTTCTACCTTACCATGCAAGAAGGTCATTTCCATAGCACAGTTAGAGTGATTACTGTTTGTTTCCTGGTAATACTCTGATAACTGGTTGGCTAGAACCACTTAAATGGTTCTTCTCTTTGGAGTTCAGTAGATGTTGTCCAATTACAGCAGAAGCTTCAGGCAAAACACACCAGCTTAGCAAAAAGAGCACTGCAGCAGTAAGAGCTAGACAGTAACTTTTTTTGCTAGTGTGACTGTATCATTAGGCCATAGATGAATGTGTGATTAAATTGTCTTGGTGGGAAGGGGGGAACTCTGGCCTATGGCATGTCTTTAACAAAAATTACTGCAGCTTTGTCATAAATTGATTGGAAATATTTTTTCCTCAGATTACTCATGGGATGTCAACAAGTATGCAAATGTGAAAATCTAACATATGTCTCCTTGATGCTTTTACACAGTTTCTCACACCAGTTTAATGACTAAAAACTGTCTTTTAAAATGCCACTTCAAACCCAAGTCCTTTGGTGTTGAAGACCACCTCACTGTTATTTTCTTAGTCTTCTGCTGAGATGTTAAATAATTGATTCATTTGTTGATTTTACACACTTGGACTGTAGCCTGATTTTTATCTTATTCTGGTCTTATGCTGTAGTTAAAGTTTGTATATCTGCTAATCCTCCTTGTTACAGAGTGTTCCATCTTTTTTGGGTTACTTTGCTGTCTTTCCTCAGAGCATCAGTTTCCATTGATCCTTTCGCTGCAACTAACGCAGGCTAACATTAATATCTTTCTTTTGATCTCTGTGGTAAATGCATTTATTTCTGAATGAAGCTATAACATTGTTACCTTCTGTGAAGACTTCCTGACAGCGTAATAACTAGGGATGGACCAGCGATTTAGATCTAATAAGACCCAGTCAGGTTATTTTGTGTTGTGCTTTCTGTCTCACATCTGTTTGTGGAAGGTGGCCCTGGCTTTCCTGTCACAGGAGCCAGGCAGTCCCCTTGCCAGCATGGTCCCACTCTTAATTTACCACAGGTGGATCAGCTTGGAAGCCTAAAACCTGGAATATTTATTCTTTTCCTGAAATCTGCCATGTTTACCCCCACACTTAATAAACATGGTTGTTGCACCATTTCATTTCACTGCTAGTACATTTAGACCAAGATGTAATAATGCATGTCAAAGAGTTGCAGATGTTGTTACAGTTTTAATTACACTTAATTAGCACATTCCATGTGTTTAAGTCAAAGTTTTAGGGTTGTCTTTTTTGCAGTGTTGAAATATCTTGGATTTTTTGGACCAACAAAGGTGGGCACAGGGTAGCAATGTTGACTTGTGCTGGAGCACGGCTGCGTGTGCTGTGTTTTGTAGGTAGACTCCAGGAGTCCTGAGATGAGACTCACAAATCTGTCTTGATATTAAAGTATTGCACTGTCAATTTGGGTATCATGGTGCAGTATTTGCTAAAGCTTTCAGCGGATGGCGGACTTATGAAGGTGGTGCACCTGCAATAAACTCCTGGGTTTTGTGCTGTTTTGCTTTCCTTTTTGGGGTAGAAAGGATATGATCACACAAGTCCTTTTATCCGGACTGCAAGTTTCATGTTTTGGTAAGAACAAAAAAGGGAATCTCGGAAGACAAATGAGTTGCTTTAAAGTGCTACTGGGTATTTGAGTCATCTTGGCTGTTGTAGAAAGTGCTTCCTCTCTGCCTTTTACATCTTTCTTAGATGTTAGATTTTGTCTACAACCATTTATTGCTTAAAAATTGAATGATAGTTGAACTGGGAAGAATTAAGTCAACAACATGTGACTTTTTTTTTTTTTTGACAGATGCAGTTGTATTTTCAGGATGAGAGGCTAGAGAGTATGTGATCCTCTCACTTTCCTCACAGTACTTACAGAACCATATCACTGTGTCCTCTCTGAGCTGCTTTGCAGTTGAGCACTGGATCAATTGTACTGCGCTTTATTAGAAGGACCAAGTGTTTTCTGCTTAGCACACTGAGCTCTGCATTTGTTGATATGGCACAATACAAACTAATAAATAGCTGTTTTGTAAAATACTGGAGTTAAAAAGTGAATACTACCCTTCTCAAGGTTCAGACAGAAACCAGTCACATACTTGAATATCAGTTTGGTTTTTTTTTTTTAATGTGAGGACAAAAGTACATTTTTGCTTTTGAAGTTGGAGAGGGAGTGTAAAGTACTGTGTGTGCTGCCTGTACAAAGTATAAACAACCAGTGAAAACAGTTTTAGTGGAATGCCTCTCCTAGATTTTAAAATTTCCCACTTAATAGATTACTGCAATAATTACTACTCTTGTCAGTGCCATGATGACAGTTTTGCATATAATATTGTGTAACATTTTGAACAGCAACAGGAAAATAGATATTCTCCGCCTCTCTACTTTGTTTAGTTAAACTACATATTTTTTAATATGAATAGTAAAATGTTTCAAGTAAGAATAGCGGTGTATCATGAACTGCATGCAATACATTTTGCTCCTTAAACCCAGTTAAATTAGCAAGTTTAAAACATGCACAGCCTGACTTTCTTTTCTCGGACTGAAATGTTTTATAGACAATTTCCAAGCATTATTATTAAATCATTCTTTTAAATGAGATTTCATTTTGAAAGACTTGAAACATGCAGACAGGCAGGAGCCTCTCTGGAGAGTCAGCTGAGGAATAGGAAATGTTACTTCTTTGGTTTTCTAATTCAAATCTAGTTTACATAGCCTCTATCAGTAGAAATTGGTTGTTGTTAGTGCTCCTCTGTTCTTGGGCTACTGAACAGGGCTTCCCAGCCCAAGTTGTGGTGGGTAGTCATTCAGGGAATGAATCCTTTTTCTGCAGCTTTGTTCTAGCTCTTTGGACTTAGTTGGAAATGTGCCTGGGTGCTGAAGATCATTTTTGGGGAAGTTCCTTTGGGAGCTGTGACAGTCCTTTGTAGCTCTGTTGTCATCGGCCCTCCTAGATGCACAAGTTTGAATGAATCTAAAAATCTGTTTGTGCTTCACTTGAGACATGTGGTTGTACTGCATGCTGTGGATGGATGCTAGTGTTACTTTTCCTGATGCAGCCTGAAGTTTGCATGTTCTTTGAATAAACATAGGCTATTGTTCAAGTGTGCTAACAGCTTGACACATTCCACATGTAAAAAAATTTGATCTGGAAAAAAAAAATTGGTGTTGCTGTATGAATATATCATATTTCAGTAAAGATGGTAGAGAGTGGGCAAATATAGAGCAGCAGTAGGTCAGTTGTTAGTTCCCTGGGCTTGTCCAAATATAATTTAAAATGTTGACATTAAGTAATTTGGGGGTTTAATAATATTTAATTAACTACTATTTAAAGACCTCTGCTCAGATTGACCTACATGTCTAATTTAAAAATTCTGGTATAGGTAATAGATTTGACATGTTGAGTATATAGTGGTTTGTGAAAGTCAATAGAGTGCATCTCAAACTTCTGATAATCCTTTGTTTCTAAAGAAGAGAAGCAAACAAGTGCACAACACTAAATATTGTCCTTTCTGTTTATGTTTCAGATTAGCACTGTATGTATATGAATATCTGCTCCATGTAGGAGCACAGAAATCAGCCCAGACGTTTTTATCAGAGGTATGTTTCCCTATCCTTTTTTTCCTTACACAACTTTCCAGTGTGTGCAAGTGAAATAAATACATGTTGGTCTAGAATAAACAGTAGTGACAACCTTGAATATCTGTTTACATTGATCAGCACGGATTTCTGATTCTGTGGAAGCCAGTTTGCCATGTCATTTAACATGCCTTTGCATAACTATTTTTGTTAGCCCTGTTCTGTGATTTGCGGCTACATTGGGGAAAGATTAAGCTATTTTCTGTAATAAATGTGCATGTTAAAGAACCTATCAACAGTACTCTTTTTTTGATGGCCTTCTAACTTATTGTTGATATCTCTGATTGTGAATGATGTACCCTTCCAAAATAGACAGTGATCGTGTATTTCACATCCTACTGTCATACACTTGCAATTCCCATTCTCTTAAGCACTGCTGATCTGTCTGTGTATTCTTACCATACTTCTAACCACTTTTAATCTGGTGAATCACTTATGACTACAACCATTTAGGTCTTGTTTCTTAAACACTTTCAACTGCTAATGGCATTTTTACTTTTCCACAATAGTTACTTTTTTCATAGTCTTTCAAAGACTTTGTATACATCTTCTGAAGATTGAAGTAAATTATGTCACCTTAGCATTTTACATTTACTCTGGGATACAAAAAGACCTGTATGCCAAACATGTTGAGGTCTTTTGGATTTATTATTGTTTTTAATCTTTCTTTGACGAGAACATTTAAGATAATAATAATAGTTGTATAGTGGGCAGAAGTGAGGACTCTGTACCCTATGCAAGTCAGCTGTTTTTGTTAGTGAGTATTGGCATACAGGGTGAAAACAAGAGAATATCAGTTGAGAGAAGCACAAAGAAGTCTTCTAGTGAATTTGTGATCTAATGAAAGTTACAGTTTTCCATGTGTTGTCATCCTTGTCTGGCTCATGGCTGTTAAGAAGCAACCACCCTGTTGCGGCGAGCTTGTTGTGAGAGTACTTCAGGTGTAGGACACACCCAGGTGGCACGGGAGGAAATTTGTATTGGTTTGGTCCCTCCTTAAAAAGCATGGCTGTTTGGGCTGAATGCTCTCTCTGCCCTGGCAGTCTGCACCTGCAGAATAGTTTGGGTGGATTTTCTTAAAGATTAAGTAGTTGAGAATAACTCTAATACTGAGCGTTGGGGTGTAAAAGAAGTAAGCATGCATAGATTGCCTGAGCTATACAGCTTGGACAGTATAGTTATATTATAGACAGTTATAACTGTAGTTATACTATAGACAGTTAGTGGTGTCTAAGTATGTATAAATGACAAAGGTTAAGAGCCCTTCCTTAAAGATCTACCAGGGAAGATGGCTAAGAATAATGGAACAAAATTGAGAAAAGGAAAATTTAAGTTGGATATCATGGAATCCAGTCTGCTACTAGATGACTTAGAGATGGTTGTCCTAAGCATTCCTATATTTTTGTAATGCTTTGTGTCTAGTTTGAATTTCATAGAACTGATCCACAAGTTAAAGGGCTGGAGAACCTGCCCTGGGTATGAGGAAAGACTGAAGGAGTTAGGTCTTTACTCTCTGGGGAAGAGAAGGCTTGGGGGGACCTCATCACAGTGTTCCAGTACTTAAAGGGTGGCTACAAAATGGATAGAAGCTCTCTTTTCATATGAAGTCACATGGAAAAGACAAGGGGCAATGGGTACAGGTTGCACAGGGAGGGTTTTCATCTTCATACAAGAAAGAAATTTTATTTTTTTTTTTTTTAATTACAGTGAGAACAATCATTCGCTGGAACAACCTTCTCAGGGACATGGTAGAGTCCCCATCACTGGAGGTTTTCAAGATGCAACTCGACAGGGTGCTAGCTAATCTCATCTAGGCTCCCTTTCCCATGAAAGACTGTACTAGATGATCTTTTTAGGTCCCTTCCAACCTGAGCTGTTCTGTGATTCTATGATTCTATGAGTCAGGTCTAGAAGTCCTCTGCTGATCTTTCAGTTACAAGGTGAACTGTGCTTTGTGGTCCTTGCTGAGTATAGCCTTGAAAGCTTTGTTGCCTTTATCGCTAAAACATAGGACCTCAAGCTCATCTAGCATTTTCCTGGATCTCTTAATAGCAGAGACCACTTCAGTTTGTTAGCTATAACTGTTGTATCTTGGTCTGCAAATTTACTTCATTTCAGGAGATGTGGCACGAAGTACTGGATTGAATAACTCAACAGCTGTTTCATACCAATTCATCATACAATTGGCAAAATGGCAGGGGGCTAGCACACCTAGCTTTCATCTAAACCATGTCATTGCTTATGAGGGTTGACTAGAGCTATTCAGATGGGGTCCACACATTTTTGAAACGAAGGAAGCTGCTCTGCTCCAGAATTTTTCCTTTGGTGTCCCAGCTGCTGCATTTTCCTTGAGAGCTGATCCTTATTCTACATATTTTCTGTCCTTTAAAGTTAGATTCTAGCCTTGGAGGAATAATTCCGTTAGCCTGGCTGGACCAGGAAGGTGGGCATTTCCCAGGTAATCAATCACTGGCCATGAGCTTAATCAATACAGTTGACAATGCAGGCATTTTTCTAAAATTAATAATTCTTTATAAATCTTTTTAAGTCTCTGGGATCAGACAGACTGACATCTGCCATGTAAGACAGAAGTATGTTATTTTTTGAAAAACAGAACAAACCCCTTCAAACAGGCCCCAAACTTCCACATTCCCTTCAGGCTCCTTTTCTGAATAAATTTCTCAAGATGAAATATGTCCTATTAAAAAGGACCAGCATAAGACCTGTGAATTGGGTAATTTCCAAATCAAGCCCTGCTTTGAAGAACTTGAATACTACTTGGACATAGAGAGGGCTTTCTATACATACATAATTTTTACTCTTAACTGAATGATTTTTCAACTTAAGGAACCATTTTTTGTTTGGGTTGTTCATTGCATTCCTTCATTATGTTGCTTTTGAAACTTCTCAGAAGTACTGTGTATTCCTGATGATTTAACACAAGTCCTTCCAAGCCATTCCCAGTGCACGTGAGGTGCAGTCACACCTCAGAGGAGTGTATTTGAAGAGTGTGTAATAGCTTTGTAGTAGCTTTGGCTTTTCTTTGTATTTTTCATTTTTCTTAATATTTTTATCTGCCAGCACTTAAGCAGGAGCTTTTTAAAAGATGCTTTTTGTATATTAACTACTGTTACGTGGTAGTGGTAGGGTTAAGCACGATGCAGTTGGTTCATTCTGCCACCTTTACTAACAGAAGTGATAGTGCCTCAAGGTTACCTTTTAAAAATAATTTTTGAATAGTAAAATCATTTTTGAATAATTGTATTCATGTAATATATCAAAATTACAGTGGTTACTTTATATGAGTGCAAAGAACATTTTTAGGTGTACAAACTACATATTCTCCTGCAAGCTATTGACAGAACTTGTATATGTTTAAATTTCTTAAGAATTGGATGTGGAAATCAAGTTGGAGTTGAAAAGCAAAGTTTTAGTCTCTTTTGGGAAAATGCCAGCTTTACCAGTGCCTCTGGCAGTATGAACACTGTATCTACCTTTTATAATAAGCATTTATGTACTTTTTAATATCTATCTATCTATCTTAAGATACCTTTCATATTAAGGCTGTTTAAGCATTTCATTAAAATAATCCTCTTTTTGTCTGCCTTTACTTTTGTCTCTAGGGCAGAATATGGTTTGTGTTTAAACAATTTTTTTCTAAACAAAATTGGACAGGAAATAATGCTATGTGTAGTTAGTTGTAACGGGAGGAATCTGGAGTGCATGCAACGCCCTAGCTTCCACCTAGTTTTAACATGAGACGTTCTTCTGTACAGTGTTGTGTGGATTTCTGCAGAACCTCCATTTCTTTGCGACAGAGCTCCTTAAGCAGTTACATGGGCTTTATTGTAGTCCAAACTATTTAATTTTGTAGTTAAGGACAAACTAATGACTATGGCATTAATAAAATGGTTGTGTGATTATAGTTAAGATACAACATTTGGGAAGTGTTGTAGAGAGACAGAACGCTGTCTTGTCTAATGGGTTTGCTGATCAACAAGAAAAGTGTGAAGGCAAGGGTAAGAGTTCTTAAATGGCATTTCCTTTGAAAACAGTGTTAAACAAACCAGGCTACCTAGGTGGGAAAGAAGTCACAGCCAGTATAGCGGTTTAGGAGAGGTTGCCAGCACAGGCAAACCAAGCCAAACTAGCTTTACATTTTGACTGAGTGGTGGGAGACTGGGTTATAACTCTGATGCTGCTCGTATTTGCCACATTACCTCTAAGAGTAAAGCACTCCTTGAGGATTATAAAACACTGGCTGGCTTTGGATGCGGAGGGAAGACTGCCACCTGCTGCATCAGTAACATTTGTTCTGTCTTCTATGTTTTCCGTAATGCAAATTGGGAAATCTTTTAGATCATTTCAAGGGTACTTTTTAACACTTTTTTTTTTTCTGGTCAGGCATTTTTGACCTTAAAATAATGCACATCTCAGTGGAATGATACAAAATACGTTGTTAATAAAATTGTATTCAGAATCCCCGCCCCCCCCCCCCCCCGGCTTTCCTAGAATAAGAAAAGCTTATTACAAGTGTAATAAAGTAAGTAATCTAGCCATCCAGGTTGATGGTTATAAAGCCTTTCATAACTACAAAATCTTCTTTCTCTTTTTGCAATCTGCATGAATTATGTAATGCTTTTTAGTCACAATGATCACAAAAATGTACACTACTTTTTTTATTGTTTTGGTTTAGATAAGATGGGAAAAAAATATCACACTGGGGGAGCCCCCAGGATTCTTGCATTCCTGGTGGTGGTAAGTATCAATATTATTTTCCTCTGATTTTTAGAATATGTTGATTGCTAGTTCCAGCAGCTGGAGGCAAGAAATTCAGGTGAACATTGTAAAAGGAATGTGAAGGTGAGGATCAAGAACCATTTTCTTATTAAGGAATGAAGGAACGCAAAATTAGATATAGAAAAAGACACAGATGATACAGGAAAAGAAATACTGCATAGTGTGTTGATAGAAAGCATCTTTGAAAGAGTGTGGCCTGCATTTCTTTCTTCATGACCTTCCAGTAAATTGTGCATTTAAGAGATCATTCTACATATCCTAAATAATTGTATTTGAAAAAAACAGTATATACAGAGACTCTGTATAGATGTGAGCTTCCTCATTCTACAGTACTCATTCTAGTCATGGGAGTAGCATATGAAAGTAATTAGCTAAATCCAAGCTACCAGCCTTTTTGAGAGGCAGCATGTGTTAGCATGGGCTTGGTGCTGCAGTGTCTGCATTTGCACAGTTTCTCTCAGCTCAGAAGACTGGCAGACATGGAGTTGACTTGTAATTTTTTATGCATGATACCGTTTGCTTATATGTACTGTGTATGTAGAATTCCTAAGGAGAAAATGGTGCTTATAGTCCACTGCTATTTAGCCATGGTATTTATTAATTGTCATATCATTTGAATATATCCGATATGCCTGTGTTTGAAAGAATACAGAATTACAGAGAATGTGTCCAACTGTCAGGAGTACAAGAATTTACAAGTTTTAAAGTGGTCCCATTCAAACCCAAGTGATTTTGTATAGCTGCATGGAAGGTGGCATATTCTTCACTGACCTTTCTTTCATAGCTTTTAGCTATGTGATGGAAGCCTGGCAAGAATAATGTATCCCTTGTATCTCTGATGTCTGTATTATCCTTAATTTTGATCATCTGCAGCAGAGTGCTCAAATTTTCTGCAGTTCCTGATTACAGTGCTGGACTAAGTTACAGAGGATTAAGTCTAAAACAATAAAGAAACACTGTGAAACTCTAACAAGTTTTATTCTTTTAATTGTTCTAGCATACTCATAATGTCATTCCAGAAACTTTGTGTTAGAACTGATTTGTGTATAACTCTATTTGAAGGGGACTGGGGGGGAAGACCAGTGGCAGTACCATGATTTCCTTTCACTGTTTATAACCCAAGAACATACCCATCTATTTCCTACTCTTGTCCATATACCTGTTTCTCTGGGAGCTTTAGTTTAAAGCACAGTGTTGGACCTTGGAAGAACTCCCAGTTTTCTCTCCAGTTTCTTGCCTTTTCATGTTATTATGAATCTGTTCCTTCCCATGTTTTGTGGAAGTTAATTGCAGCAGTTGCCAGAGGGATGAGGTTAAATGCAGAGCTCCAGTAATACGCTTTATACCCTTAAACCTTGTGTATTAGACTAGCTTGTTGGTCTATACCACAGTGGTATTAAAAGAATACAGCACTGCTTGCCTCAGAGAATCAGATAGCAAGACTTGATTCCTCATAGATATTTTAAAAAGCTACATTCTTTCATTGAGGTAAGTGTGTTCATCCCTTGGTGAGGAAGTGATATGTCTGTTTCTATAGGTGAACATGCATGTGTGGTGTCCATACACCATAAAAACTACATGAGTATTACAATGATTTTCTCACCATCTCTGTAACTTCTTAACTTGCAGTGTATTTTGGGATCTCTACTGTGCTGCTCCAGAAAGACGAGAAACATGTGAACATTCAAGTGAAGCAAAAGCCTTTCATGACTATGTAAGTTTTGTGTGTGTTTACCACACTTTCATTAATTCTGTGAATAAATGTTAGAAGTATTTCTGCACTACAGTGGCTCAAAAATGCAGGTGTCGGTCATATAAAAGTAACTCTAAGTTTTCTGGGGATGCCTTAGAATTAGGACTTCCTAATACTTTTGATTACCAGCACCATGTGGATAATTCGTGGAAGCCATCTCAGAGATCAAAATGCTGTCCCATGTGTTAATGCAGAATGAAGAATATCCTTATGTCTTCCCCACCACAGACACATCAGCTTGGTCACAAAGTTGCAGGGCAAATGGAAGCACAGATATGTCCTGTCCAAATATCCGTACTATCACGGTGCTAAAGAAAAGGCTATTCAGTAGATGGAATTGATCCCCTGGCTTCAGTCAGGACCATACCGACTTAAAGTGGGATTGTTCTTCAGGTATTTTTGTATCCTGAAGTAGGTATTTTTCATCTGCATAATAAGCAGTTAAGCATAATAGAATAAGTTAAATGCAAAATCATCTGGTCCAAGAGAACGGGAGGAATAAAGGGCAAAAGTATTATGCCAATTTTGATGCCTCTGAGATTTAGTTCAAAACACAGCATGGGGTTTGGTGGTGTTTTGCTTGCAAGGAATAACAATAATAACAACAACAACAATAATAATAATATTCTAGAAACTAGGGTCCAAAACATTGCAACAGTTTCATTCTGTTTTTTTTCCATTCTCATAATGTAAATGAAGCTCTTCAGAAATGTGGAAATACATTCCAGAATTAGGATGGAATCTGAGTTCCTTCTACTACGTCAGTTCTTCTCCATTTGATGATTTCATTTTCACTGACTAAACCCTTAGGAGACTGACCACCGTGAGTTTATTGTTCCTTTGGCCATTGATGTAGTCTAAAGAAGGAGTATAACTCTCTGACAATACAACCCTGAAACCTTTTTCCTGGAGTGTTTTCCAGGTCTGTCTTAGAAACTCTGTCTAGTTACTGCAGGAAAATATTTCCACAGATAAAATGAAAATTAGACTGCTGCAGCCCAATGTCTTACAAACACAGATCTGGAAGAATGGAAATGAATCAGCTAAGTGACCATTTTCCATTTTCTGTTGTCATAATCTGATAATGGCTTGGCGTCCTACAGTATGTGAACTAATGGTGATCTTGCCTTATTTGTAGTTAACAATGACTTACGTTGTAAATGCACCATCAACACAGTTAGAACTGTTCAGTGTATTTTACTTACAGACCAATGCCACTTTAATACCCTGTTCTTGGTGGTTGGGTTATGAGGCTAACTGGTAAAGGAGCTTGGACAATTTTGCACAGTCATGTCCGGGCTACATTGATCACTAGTCATAATTACTGAAAAAATGTGTCAGAGAGAGGAACAAAGTTATAAGGAAGTTTTCAATCCACAGAGGTGCTAAGGTCAACCAACTTGGTAAAGCATATTCCTCAAATTAAAAATGAAGTAACTCTTGCAAGTACACTTACTGCAATCTTCTTTACCTGTTCTGTTTTAAAGATACAATTACTGGAAAAATAAAATATTTAGTTTTTGTTTTGAATCCTTGCTATTAAAGCAAGGTTTAATTCCCCATTGAAGGAGAAATAGTTTTACAGGAATGGTTTATGACTGCAGGGAATGACATTAGTGAATTAAATTTGTGGAGATATGAATCCACAGTACAACAGTTGACTTCAGTGGGGAACATTGTGCTCTCAAAACACAATGTGTATAAGAAAAAGCCAGGAATCTAAAACCTGTAAATGTCGTTGTGAAGTTATTCTGAAACAAAATGATCAGCAAGAGGAAATTTTAAATGGAAAAGTACTTCAAAATCTAAAAAGGAGTGGAGTCCACAATTCTTTAAACTCATGAGAGTTTCATTGATCAGTAAGTTCACTATTGAATCTAAATTTTGAGGTATACTAAGAATTTGAGTAGGTGAAGCAAAATAATGTATATAAAGTTGTTTTGATGGGAAAATAAATTGGCATGCTTCCATATGCACATCAATCTGTGTTAAGATAGGTTGAATGTTTATTTTAAAAACAAATTGGTTTATTTTAGAAATTAATTCACCAGGTATTTCTAAAACCCGTTCTCTCTTAATGTCTCAGGGTGACAGCTAGCTTTTGCATTAATTTTGTCATAGTTGAGATAAACTCATCTAGTATCTAGCAAGACTCATGGTATTCCTTAGCATCATGTACTTTTTGCTTAGTAAGACAGTCTGCATCATGATAAGAGCATACATTTGAAGTCTTACTTGTATTTAATATTTCATGAGTGTATTGTGTGCTTATATTAAAGAACACAACAAATCGTTATAAAATATGGCCAAACTTATTTCACAGCAGAGGAAGATGAACATTTATTAGGTGAAATCCTGACCCATGTAGCATTTTGCTAGTGACTCCAGAGGGGTCAAAATTCCATCGTCAGTGAAGACCATCAGAAAGCTGGCTGCTGCTTTCTGGCTTCTCCATCAGGCTGATGGGTCTGGTAAATCAAAACCCTGCTGTCACGTTGCAGGTCAAGTAATAGAGTATTTGTAGTTGTACTTTCATACCTGAAAACTGCAATTTTAAGTACAAAAAGTACAGAAGGCTTGTTTATTAATTCATACTAGCAATTCAGAATTTTTTATTAAGTATGGGTTCTCCTTGATCTAAGAAAAATCACTCCTGCTGAAGGTGCGAGTGGTCTGGTTACACCAGATGTGTCATCTTTTACACTAAGTAGGCTGTATTAGCTGAACCAATATCTTGTCTGTCTTTGCTTTTGTGAAGAGAGAAAGTTTGAAGAATGTTAGAGAGAAAGGTTGAAGAATGTTTGACGGGGGTTGAGTTTTTAAAGTTTACTTTAAGTTTCACAATATCTTAACTGCAGTTGCAAAACTAATGCCATTTGATTCAATCCCCCTTGTCCCAGCCCTTCTCGGACAATGTTTTTTTGAGAGCTGAGGTTTATTTCATTATTTACTTTGCCATAGGATTTCAGCATGTGCTTTGCTTGTCGTTGAATGCAATTAAATATCTGCAGCTGGACTTTTTGTACATCTGCAGTACATTTGGGTGAGAAGACTAGCAGGATCTTTCTTGGACTCTGTAGTGCTGTCCTGAAAAAGAGTGCCTGTGGAGTTTCCTCCAATATCAACTCTGCCTAACCAAGCAAACTGAGTCTTAACCTGTGTGTGCCTATGAATTCTGTGCTACTGAGGCTGTTCTTGACTATTTGTGTAAAACAACAGTAAAAACAAATCTTTGTAGGCAACTATGATTTAAATTTTCTGATATATAAGTGTGTACAGGTTTCTTTCTATGGTAGCATCCCTGTTCTGCAGAGAAAGGGTTTGGCAGTACTATTTCATTGTGTTCGGATTGTTCTAATACAACTTCTGATTTTTATCGAGCTAGTGAAAGGAGAAGAATCTTTCATGTCCGACAGCAGGAACATGAAGTGACTCTCAAGGCAGATGCTGTAACTGCTTGCAGTACTAACAATGCTCATCTTACTAAGAATCCAATAAATAGAAGAGCAAAGGCCTATTCTGGCTTTGAAAAGATTTCCTATGCTTATCTTGAGATTAAGTATTTGCAGCTTCTCCATATTACCTGAAAGGGATTCTATTTTTATTTTCTATTGAGATTTGCAATTGGAAATGTTTTCTTCAGAGTGAACAAGGTTCTGAAGTCATTAGGTACATTTATATAACATTTTAAGCTTGAAAAGACAGATGCATGTCATGAAAGCGCGTGTGCTGGATCAGGGAGATAGTTTCTGGCCTTGAAGTTTTAATGTAAATAACTTAGAATTAGAAATTGTCTACATTTCAGGTAACTCAGGAAATAAAACTGGTGCTTGCTCACCTAGCCTATTAATATTGTAGGTGTTTCTGTAGAAGTAGCTTCTTTGAAGCAGAAAAGCCCCAATGTTTCTTTTCCAGGTACCTATTACTTTTCCTGGATGAAAACTCTGTGCTTTGAAGTCTTGTGAAAAACCATTTACATGGATGCTCTGAGGCAAAATTTAGTCTTCACTGTAGAATCAGTTTTTCTTTCTTCACAGTGTCCTAAGGAGATCTCTTCATCTCTCTAGCAAAGATCTCATTTCTCTGGGTTTTGAACTGATATCTTCTGTTGAGAGAAGTGGGTTCCAATGTGCATCTAGTTTCTGCCTTCTTTCCATGTTCTTTAGAAGCTGAAAACATACTGGGTCAAAAGGAGAAATAAAACTTAAACCTTGTGATTCCTTGGAGAATATGGATTTTTAGCAGCACCCCTACCAATAAACTTCTGGCTGCCACAAGTGACCATTCACCTCTTCCTCAGGCTTGGCCCTTTGTTCACAACTTTGGACCCTGGGTTTGGAGGGGTTGTACCTGAAAAGTCCTTTCTTACAAGATGATTTCTGTACATAACAGTTAAGGTCTTTTTACAGTCCAGAAGTTCTTGTGCCTCTTACACCCTCCTTACAATGGAAGTTCTTCCATGTGGTGTTGGTGTTGGTAATTGTGTTAATTCTCACAAGTAGCTATGGTAAAATCTTGGATTATTTTCCAGGTAAGATTTTATTAGTGTCTTCTCCACAGGTCTTTGAAAAATCACTTTTGGTATGAGTAAGGGTCTCTTGTTTGTTTTTATGGCTCCCCAAAGAATGCCAGGTAATTTACAGGATAAGAAAAAAGACACATTCATTGCCCCAGAGACTGTACAGTCTCATCAGCTGGTATCACATTTCCACCTGACTTGTTAGCACATTTTAATAGTGAGCTGTATGACAGGGAGCTTTACATGAAGATTGTACTGTATATTAAAGACTATGCTATAATCAGTTCTGTCCAGATTATTCCTTTTAAAGGTCATAGTGATGTAAATCAAATTTTTCTAGAAGTTATTGGGCATAGTGTTTGGACATTTGAGATGGCTGATCAATCTCTTTGTGAGTCTTTCATAAGAAAAAGCTGGGTTTCTGCATTTATTGCTTTATTTT